TTTTTTTTTTTTCTTATCTTTTCCTGTTTAATACACTTATTATTCGGTTATAAATCAGACCTTTGTTTTTAGGGTTTTGTTTTTTCATTTTTTCTGTTGGTTTTATTTTGATAATTGTCTTCCTTTTTTCTTTTCTTTTTCTTCCTAACTACCACAAAAATTCATCTGTTAGTAAATGGTTGGCTATTAAATTTTCTGTTTATTGAGGTATTAATGAAGAAAACGAAAATGATGATGATGATGATAATGTCGATGATGATGATGATGATGATGATGATAATGGCGATGATAATGATGTTGATGATAATTACGATGATAATAATGATGATGATGATGATAATGATGATGATGATAAAAATAAGGCTTAAAATTGATACAGCTTTTTGACGACTGCTAAAAATATGTTTTTATCCACTAAAAAACCAATAACTTTTAGAGATATCATTAATCAGTTAGTGTGGTTTAATTATCTTCCTTTTTGATACATACGCTTCTACCAATTTCTTTTTTTTTTTTTTTTTTTTTAGAAGGGACAAGGACATTAACATGACACTATTAAACTTCAACGAATTTCTACTCCAATACTTATGCAGTCTTTCTGAATATTTTTATGTTTTCTCTTCTTCTTCCTAAAACTTTTTCGTAACTCTTCAAAATTGATTCAGTAAACTTTGAAATTTTTATCCTTTCAGTCATTTTAGCAGCGAAGACTCTGAATTGTTCCGTTATGAAAACTCATATATGCCTAATTGATTTGAATACCTTTTCTTGTCGTATTGATGAATGATGACGATGATTTAGTAAGGATTGAAGTAAAATTGACAGATAAATGTTGGAAGATTTTATTAACAGTAACCAGTTTTAATGATGAAGAATCCGATAGTTGGCTTACAGATACTGTATTATTGGAGATTAAAGTTTTTTTTTTTCCAGTGGTTACCAATGGAATACGGAAGGAAAATTGAAACGGATAACAGAAGGGAATGGTATTAATTGTTGTTGGAAAAACACACTGATAATTGTTGTAAAACTTTTGTTCCGATCAATGAGGTCAAAAGTATGTGGAGATTATTCTTTTTTTTTTTTCTTTTTAGGAAGAAGAGGGAGGGGGTCTTCTGAACGATACTAAAATTTAGGAGCAACAAACAACCAAAATACATGACATATTGATTTATGATCAAATTTGCTTGGCACAGGTTATGTATGGTACAGCGGGTGGTGTACACACAGATGCAGACAAATAGCCCAACAAAAACACATCATCATTTATATAGGTTTTGATACATGTCAACGGTTTGACTAGTTGGTTACTCATCATTCTGATGTTGTTTTTCCTCTTGTTTTTGTTGTTGTTTTTGTTGTTGCTGCTGCTGCTGCTGTTGTTGTTGTTGTTGTCGCCGTCGTCGTCGTCGTTAGCATCATCATCAACGTCATCAACAATAATATGGCATAATTTGTAAATTGCTGTTTCCGGTAGCCAAATGAAAAGAGTCGTTAATCGTTTTTTTCTTTTTTTTTTTTCTTAATGCCACTATCCCGCTAAACTATAGCTAAGTTTTTCA